AATTTAAAAACAACAATAAAAACGGAAATTTAACCTCTTAATGTTGTTGATGACCAGTTGGTGTCGGTTCTGTTCCCAGTGAATGTTTTTCGGCCAAAATGTGCTGCAGCTGGTCTTCCGACAAATTTGCGAAACGTGCAACAAGTGAGTTTGTTTTAATTCGGCTCTATTTTTGCTGCTTGTTGGATCAGGACCTAAAAGGTCAATGCCGATAGAAAAATTGGGCAGTTCTTCGCTGGTTTCTTCCATATTTTAAAGAGAAGGAAAACTGCACTGCAGCTTAAAAGACGACAACTCTGCAGCCAGGTAAAAAAAAAATGCTTACGTCATCTTATTTACGCACGGGCGTGCGTAAATAAAGATTTTGTTCATAGCGGCTCAATAGGACTTATATAGGGCAAGCACGCGCGCTATGTTATAATCCTTGTTTTTGTGCTGTTTGTAGTAAAACCTGCATTGCTCACAGCCAATCAGATTCAATAATTTTTTTTTTCTGGTATATTATTAGCATAGAAAAGGTGAATACCAACAGGACCTGTGTTTTGAATATATTATTAAACTATGACTTTGCATTTAACATAGGGCAATCAAACTTGATTTAAATTGGGAACTTCTTGTGCATGTTTTATGGAATGACTTATATCCAAAATTAGTACGGGTCATTGTAGTGCTTTTGACTTAATTATGTATTATCTATGAAAATTGTATCAGAAATGATTCATTCACTCTTGTAGCTGTACGACTGTGAAGTAGGTTCTGGCTCCAGTTTAATATGAATACATGAATGTAAATCCCTTTTATCAGATATTGAAATTGAACTGCTAATGTAATGCATGTATGCTGATACAGGGGAAAATGTTCTTTATTTATGGTGTTGCTTACTTTGCAGATCGACATTCCAACTCTAGTCACAGAAAACTTGGGGAAACAAGGATTAAAGCATTTAGAGATGTACCTTAGAGCCAAGGAAAAAGGTTACTTAAACTACCATCATGAGTGTTGATTTAAAGTGATATATATATTTATATTAACTTTCTTTATTTTTTATGTTTATTTGCCTAACATCCCGGAAATCGATTTGACTGCATGTACAATTCATGCAATTTTAGGGAACTAGTGTTACATGAAGTAATGTTCACTTGATAACAGTCAGTGAGAAGGCAAGACTTTTAGACCTCCTTAGTCTGCGTAGCAAGCGTTTCCGTTTGGTTTTGGAGCAAAGAAAGACCAAGGAACGGGATTCTCGGTTTTGGCCGAGCGAGAAATGAAACAAGAGCCAAGCGCGGTCTTTGACTCTCGTTCCTCGTTCTTTGCTCCTAAACCACACGGAAACGCTTGCTACGCAGGCTAGCTAAGACCTCCCTAGTAACAGTTTCATCAGAGTGTGGCGGAGGAAATAAATTCGAAGCAAATGAGCGGTAATAAGCCTCTTGAGAGGTGGCAAGGATAAAGGATAACGTATTGGAGGCTTTTTTTAGTGTCAATGTATCAGGCACAAACGTACGTACTATTATTGTTGGGGACATTAGTAGTCTGATCGTGAATGATGTGACTCAAAAGATTGAAAATTTAACATTCAAAAAGTAATCTGTAGTGATCAACGTACCTTAATTCTTTTCCCTCGTACAGTAACATTGTCACGTTCCACCAGTCTACAGACAGCTATTCTAGAACAATTTAATCCCAGAATGCACTGTGCACTGCAAAGCCGACCAATGGAACTTCAGTATCTGAGAAAACTATCAGAGAGCATTCTCCCCTTTCTGTTACCTCCAAATGCCTTGCGATGCATGTACGTTACAAGAAAGCAGTCTTGCTATGAGCCATCCCTACATCCTAATACGTGTCCATCTTAAGCGACGGTAAAACGGGCAACAAAACGTGCAAAGGTTTCTACCCACCTACCCCTCCCCGAAGTCATCATTAACACTTACTTCTCACTTAGGGCAAAAGTACGACCTAGGAGAGGGGCATGTGGTCAGTTACCCAGAAACTTCAATTGATCCTTAAGGGATATCCAACTTGTTTTGGAATATTGCTACAAAAGGAGTTGAATACTCATATTTTGCGCCCGGCGTTTTCTCGGCCAGCATCCACGAGTCAAGCCTGTCTTGCAACAGATCAAGTTGTTACAGGTTGTAAAACGCTGTTGCAAAAAGTAGAACTACTCTCTACTTTCTGAAACAACTTTTCACAGCCTCCAACAACCTAATTTGTTTTATTAAGACGCGCAAAATCGCTCTTCATCTCGTTTCGCAGCAGTGTCGCAAAACAATAACTGGAGCAAGTTTGGTTGATTTTTTTGTCCTTGGTTCTTATCCTTGCTCTGGGAGGTTTTTTCTATAAAAAAAATCTCGTTTCTTCTTTCCTCGAAATCGATCTTTAAGTTTTAATTTGAAAGGACAAGGGAGAACACTTCTATTTTAGGTTTAAAGTTTCATTTTTGCGTTTTTAAATGTATGCTTCATGACCGATTATATTTGTTTTGAAAAACGGCGCAGTAAGAACGCGTTTTCAGTTTTCAAACACCAAAAAAATTGTTTACCAAAATAACAACAAGTACATCAACAGCATAAGGTAAAGTTTCACGAACTTTTAACAGTAAAAATGGTAACCTTAAGCTCTGAACTGCTGTTCTTGATTTTGTGAATTTCTCTGTTGTTGGACCGTGGTTATCTGTGTAGAAATTGAGTCTACTGTTACATTCTATTTCAGGAGCCTTGTATCTTTGCTACGAGAGTTATTAGCCAGTGCAGTCTTTTTATCAGCAGCTGACAAACTTTCCGACCCTGTAAGTTGAAAAAAGAGAAAAGAGTACGAAATTTAGTGGCTTGAACCGTTCAAGTCCCCAGGGTGTTCAACATATATAATCAAGGGAAAGGCCGCTATGACGATAAGTTATGTTATCACCAAAAGGCTGGTTTTCACCAGCGATGGAGTCGAAGTCGTGCTTAGAAGCGTAGAACTTTACGATCTAGTGAAAACAGCGTTGTGATCCTTCTGATTCCGCTTACTACTTCGTCATTTACGATCAAGTAAAAACTGGGTCGTCGGAGTCGCAAGCAGAAGCGGAAGAACTAAACCAATCACAAAGCGTGGGAACGTGCATTATGATTGGTTTATCTTTCCGCTTTTGCTTCCGAGTCCGACAATCTGGTTTTCACTAGATCGTAAGCGACGGAGTCATAAACGGAGTTTGAAGAAAATGGAAACGTTCTGATTCTTCCGACTCCGATTCCGTCGCGCTTATGACTCTGCTTACGACTCCGATTTTTGATTTTCACTGAATCATAAGCGTGAAAACTAGCCTTTACGTAGCATACGTCATGCTAGAAGTATATCATGAAGTGTATGATCATCGAAGCCGAAAACCTCTGTTTAAGTCCGTCCACACGTAAATGAGAAGCTGGCGTTTTCAAAAATCTCCACTCTGGAGAAAAAAAGATGCGTTTTCGGTGACCGTTTTCACGAGATACGTGTGGACGCCATGTAGACCAAACCGAGGAAAAATATTCGTTTTCAAGCAAAAACGGATACATGGGGAGGAGGGCCTAAAACTCCATTATAAACACCAATAAAATACCAGGTGAACTTTTGCCAGAAAACATGATATCTTTACACGTGAAAATAACATGTTATCTAGTTTTAATGTGGAAAGATCAGCGTTCCTATGGCTACACAATAAAACGATGCATGACTTTAAGAAGTTTATTTCAGTCTTCGTTTTAATAATAATATTTAATCTGACTTCTCATTTCTTGAAAGGATTTTGTTAACAACTTTCTGCTGATATTGTTGGACAAAGAACCAGTAAGTGGGCTGTTTTAGCGTTTCTTCGGTGCATGTTATTTCAAGTTAACATAATGTCGTCAGCTTTTTTTTGCTGCAGGAAATATTTTATTCACCCGTTGACGGCTCTAATTCGTTCAAAAATCGCGCGGCAACGAAAAACAGTAGACGCGTCATGAGCTTATTTTAAAAACTGTGGAGCCATCTACATACACTCACACAGTATTATGTCACAGTCGGTCGAACATGACTAAGACATATCAGTGTTTGCTGTTTTTGCCTGGCTCTTTGTTTTCCCGTTTAGACTGTTACTAATAGGATTACTGAGAAACTGCGAAAAGGTCTAACGTGCTTTACGTTAAAGCGTGTCCTTTATTTAGAAATCAAGGAGTAACATCTGAATCTAACACCAGTTCTGACTTTTTTGCCCCGCAGATGGTGGCTTCTGATGAGCCGCCGAGTCCTAAAGTTCCTCTACTAGCGAAGTTTGCCAAACCGCGAGTTCCACTTACAAACTCGGTAAGTCAATCACTCCCTTGATTACTCCTACAAGAGTTACATGAGAGTTAAAGCGTGCGTTGTATAGCTGTTACTGACGTCCGACGTAAAGTTTTATGAAGTTGGCTCAAACTCTTCATTTGTCAACAGCCTACGTTACAGTGTATGCTTATGTTCTTCTCGTTGTTTTTTAATTTGCAGGCTCTTCATTTGTCAATAGCAGACATTCTTCAAGCACAATCCGCCTTATTTCCTTTCATGCAGTTTATGAAAGTGAAGGAGCATTGAACATACTTCAATTTTGCCTTACCGTTGGTATGATAAAAAAAATGTTCAATGGAAGAATCTCATCCCAGTTGCAAAAGAAGGCCTAAAAATTCAGGCTTGAATAGGATTCAAACTCTTGACCTCTGCAATACCAGTGCAGCGCTCTACCAGTTGAGCTAACAGGCCAACTGGGAACCTGAATTTTTATGTGAGGCTTTCATTTCGTATCTCCAATAGTTGCGTCTGTATACTGCGATGATCTTCTTTCATTTAATACCGAGACACACACAGACACTGTGATCAAAGATTTCAAAATGACATAGAGAATATACACTTCTTCGTCCATTCTACTTTGTTCACGATAATGTCCTTTCAATAAAGGCATGGAAGACTTACCCTGAGATCAGACTGTATTTTTGTCTCACTTGGTAAATAAAATTTCGGTGGAAAGGGCGAAACGAAAACTGGCCTCAGCAGCTTAAACGTTTAAGACTAGTTATTTCAGGCCCAATTTTGGGCATGAAAGCTGCTAATATAAAATTGGGCCTGATCTCAGGTTAGGTAGACTTAAGTAAATTTGTTTTTATTAGACCAGTGATTAGCGCTTTTCGCGCTGTTGAATATCATCTGCTACTCACCTGTACTTCGGTGCTATATTTATTTTTCCAGAGGACTTCAATAAGAGAATTTTCACCCCAGAAATAACAAAAGAAGAAGAGGTTTTGCTCAGTAAAGAGGTAAAGTAGACTTTTCATTGTATTTTAATACAGAAATGACGACAAGGAAGGCTTGTTGTACTGCACTATTTCGTTGATCTGATCTTCTACTAAATGTTGTCACTACATGTGCACGCCCATCCTGTAATTGTTGACTGAGATGATATATCGCAAAAAATCATAAAAGCTTTAGATTTAGGGTTCATATCTTGTGATGTTAGTTTATATTTTTAGTCACTCCTTACGATCAAGCCTTGTGATCTCTCAGAGGATTAGAAGACGTTCGCGTTTGTTCACTCTTCTCCTCTTTTTTTCGATTATTCGCCGCGTTTTTGTCGTGTTGGTTTTAGGACAGTCGCGCAGAGTTTTGTAAACTTGTGCTGCCAACATCTTCACTTCATATATTTTTTTAGTATTTTACTTCCAATGAGGTACAAAATAGCTGAGACATTTTCATTACAGTATTTCAATTAAATTGGGCGACTAATGTAGCTTCACTTTTCTTCAACAGGTCAAAGAAATCTTCCGTTCCTACTTTGACACCGCTGCAGTTGATAGAATAAACTTTGACGCAGAAATTGTGAAAGAACTAAAATCATGTAAGCCTTTAAGCCTTCAAGCAAGCTCTCGGCTTGGGAAGAAATACATCGAGGTGCAGGAGAGTTTACTTGCAACCTGAATTGGAATGATTTCTCTGGATATAATTCTCAGTGGGCCCCAAGCCAGTTGTATCGGATGTAACTGGCCTGAGATATGAAAGAAAAAAACGATTTATTGTTGTGAGAGGAGCAGAAATTAGACCTCTTTATATGTCTATATTAATTCGGCCATTTTTCTTAATCGGAGAAGGGAAATGCTCTGCCTTAGGGTTGATTTCCACTGTCGCGTTTTTTTTACTTGTGTACGCACGTAAAAATTACGGAACAGTGGAAATCAACCCTTAGTTACAATTTGCCGAGATATCATGAGTTTAATGCATCGCTACTTATTTTCTCAGGCTAAACTGATCAGGACGATCAGTGGCCTTTGCTTGATTCTCTTTCCCGCATGTTTGACTTTTTTGTTTTCTACTTTTAGTGGTAAAGTAAGCAGAATTGATGTCCCTGTGATGATGAATTTCTGTAAAACCGACATCGCTATAATAACCATCTTCTAAAATTCTTTCGGTTAATTGTAGGTATTAGCGGCAATGTTGATACGATGGAACGATTAAAAATGGCAACATTATTATCTAGGTAGGTTTGTTTAAAAATAAAGAAAGAGAAAAACTCTGACTTAAGTAACCCGCGTATCGTTGATCTAACATAAAGAAGCTAGAGTTCGGACGCCAGAGGTCAGTTTTGATTAAGTTATGTTTTGAAAATCTTCTTCAACGTAAACCTGATCTTGAATGAAAGTCCCTGCGCCAAATTTTTCCACCATATGAGCCTCTATAGAAGTGGCATCTTCGTCAATTTTTTTAATAGGCCATTCACGCTAGTTCCAAAAGCTCTCGCTTTCAAAGCGAGGCCAAGTGCAAAACCTTTGTTGTGAAAATGAGTTTTATTTGCAGGAAAATAAAAACTCATTTTCATATCAATGTCTTCGCAATTAGCCTCGCCTTGAAAGATGAAGTTAGCCAGGTCACTACTGCAAAATCACTTGGAGTGACCATCGATGACAGACTTGATTGGAGTGGCCATATCGAGAAAGTAACAAAGAAAGTCGCTTCTGGTATTGGGGCCATAAAACGAATAAGGCACCTTGTCCCTCAGGCGACCTTACAACTAATATATCAAGCTTTAATACAGCCACACTTTGATTATTGCAACATTGTTTGGGGAAACTGTGGGATAACCTTACGGAATAAGGTTCAAAAGCTACAAAACAGAGCAGCCCGTGTTTTTGACCTACTCAAGCTATGACGTAGATGCTGGTCACCTTTTCAAACTTCTAGGGTGGAAAAACCTAGCTTGCCAGCAACAATTTCAAAGAGCTACGATGGTTTACAGGTCTCTGCACGGGTTGGCTCCAAACTATCTTAGTTCTAAATTTGAAAGGCGAGAAGTCGCATATAACCTAAGGGACTCTGAAAATAAACTCAATGTTCCATTACCGCGCACAAACTATTACAAAACAGCTTCAGCTATAGTGGCGCCATTCTCTGGAACAGTCTTCCTTGTAACTTAAGGGAAGCAGAGTCCCTTGGGCAATTTAAACGATTACTCAAAGAACTGTAAGGCACGGCATTCGTGGAAAGCAGCTTTTTTTTTAAATATTTTTATTATATTAGTATTAGGCATTTTTAAAAGCTGACGAATTTTGTACCGTGGATAAATAAATAAAATTATCTATCTTAGGCAACTCAGAAATGGTCTATTTTTGCGTACGTTGTGCATTCTTAAGAATGAGCGTCAGACAGTTAATTTGCTGTCTTAAGCGATCTTGAAAATTGACGGCGGTTTTCTGTTTGCTCAATAATGCATTTGCATTGTTAAGACCATTTTAAATGAAAACTTTCACAACTTAACTGTAACTTATCTACTAATTGAAATTTGACTTTCTTACTGATTTTTCAGAGCCTATGAATATGCATATAATCTTCTGGAGACAACGTTTCTTCCTCTATTTTACCAAAGCGATGATGTAAGTACCATCAACAGCCTCGTTGTACTTAAACGCAGCAAAACGCATGCGATCAAGCCCCTCTGAATTTTTTACTCTGTTATTGGGTGAGAGAGTGGCAGGATATTTTTAGGCCACTCATAAAGAATCCAAGAGATCGTTGATCATTTTCGAAAATTACTCCAACACTACTTTGACTCATCAACAATTCCTCCTTACTCTCCCTGATGGGGTAAAGTAGGTACTGAAACATGCGTACACACGTACAGCACAGTTACGTCACACACTTCTCAGCCCCAGCTATGCGATTGACAAGGCTCAGGCTTCTCTCGACAAGCTTGACGGTTGACGTCACATCCGATCTCGCCGAGGACGACTGAAGGCTTTTGTGCCTGTACATTTGGTAACCGTTGGCCAAAAGAAGACGGATTATGCTCTTAATATTTCTTCTAATTTGAAGGTATCTGCATTTACTGTAGTCCCCATAAATAATGGTTTACTTTTTCTCTACAGTATTTTTCTTTGTTGTGTGGAAGCCGATTGCCAGCCAAACCTTTATCTAAACCAGCTTCCAGGTAATGGGCCTCAAATGCCATCATGCTTGTGAGATGTTATTAAACGGTAAAAATTGTATAAAGGATCTCGTGAGCTAAAGGGAAGCCGTTTTCTCAATCTTGAAGCCCCCTAAGCGAGTACTGTAACCGCCCGTCCCTCACTCCTTCCCCTCAGGACGGATACAACGTTAGTTGCTAGGAGTAATTTCCGTCTCTGTTTCTCTTGTATAAAACCATGAATTGAAAAAATGCTATGCGAGTCTCTTATAAAAGGAATATGCGTTTGTCGTTAACATGAAGCCATGTTTTGTACTCCTAAACTACTATATACTGTAAAAAACTATTACAGCTTCGTGGTCTCATACAGGTCATTACTATTGCCTTTTCGCAGAGTTTCGAAGAAAAAGTTTGATCCCCTAGCGGAGTTTTCACGACTGGCAGGAAAACTCAAAGATAAAATGATGAATCCAACAAAAGGTAATCACAGCTCGGTGGCCTTGATTGGTTTATAACATATCAACGGACACGGCGGGTTTCATACTGAACCAAACATTGCTTTTACATTGTTCTTGTAGCAGGGTTGGGTCGTTGCGGTCAGTCCATTTATCCCATCTAACTATGTGAAGTACTTAAATCAACAGAAAAGGCTTGACAATATAGCGGGAGTGATTTTCCTTATTCTTTTTTCCTGAATATTTAGAACGTTCCTTTTATTGTTTTTGTAAGGTGTTTGTCTTTGAGCTCGTAATCCTGGTGAGGGTGTAGTTTTGAGTAAGAGGGCACTCGGTATTTCCTGAGTTTAGTCTCAATCTTAAACTCCCAAACCCTTCGTCTGAATTGAAAAGAGTAGAAAAACGATCGGTGGAAGGGGTGAGAATCAGACTTTGTTTCGTCCCTAATCCCATGCTGACAGATCGCGCCGCATCGCAGGCTACGGGTGATTATTTCTTTGGCCTTATTTTACAACTTTTACTCTTAAGTAGATTTTTTCAGGATTCGTGGCAAATGAATCTAAAATTCAGCATTGTATGAATCCAATACGCCGGCACGGCGGGCAAAGTCGCGTAGTAGAACGCGGAAAGTGACAAATGGGTTAGTGAATTGCCATTGCGTTGCTTTCCTTCATTAAATCCTTCGTTCCAACTTTCAGCTACAGCTAACTGTAAAATGTCTTCTAAATCTCTAGTTCACTACCATCTGTAAACATGTGTCCCTTAATTTTTTTTCAATAGATGATTCACCATACGAGGAAGACGCATTTGATATCCCAGACACACCACCGGTAAATATTACTCCTTACTACATTAGTCTCTTCTCAGTAGCTCGGGGATCAAAGCTAATTTGCACCGACAGAATATTCGCTGGTGGTCTCCCTGCCAGTCTCTTCACCCAGCCCTATTCCCCCAGAAATTCTCACAGTTGCGATGTGTGATCAGGCAATACAGCAGTCGATCGTTACGACAGAAGAACGCCGAGGGAATAGTTTTCTCCTTTAATAATGACCACAATGCTTTAAATCGAACCCACCAACCAATCACTTACAACCACGGTGGTCCAAAAAGTCTCACTCAACAAATCGACACTATCCCCTGATGAAGACCTGCTGTACGCAGTCGAAATGTCTCGAGCGATATAACTAAGTCACAGTCGTAAGAAAAACGATTAACGAAACCATAGAAAGTCATTGCGTATAGAGACCGAAAGCCCCAGCATCTCTCGCCTCGTTTAATGATGTCTCCGTTGGAAATTTATGCGCGCAACAAATCACGAATCAGAACCCAACAAGAATTGTAGAGTACCTTGAAACGCTGCCATTTTGTTTCCTTTGATGGTAGAGATTACGATTTTTCGTGTCAGTGCTCCGTCGTCAACGCGTCACGTTTTTCCTCCTTTAGGATTTTGATTTGGAAAGCGAAGAAGAGATGGAATTGGAGGAAAAAGAAGCACGCGATCTTAGCATGTGGAAGATAACTATTCCCCACGTGATTATGGAGACGAAACAGGTTTGTTGTGGTTATGCAACTATTTATACTCAGAGAAAGTTGAAATTTACGGCAGTTTTGAATTGATTACGGAGAATTATTTCGCGATTGGTTTGAGCGAAAGGTACGGTGCTATAAAACTGGCAACAACAAAGAAATGTTCAACTTTGCGCCTTTTAACACCTGCGAAAAAAATCCTTGCAACGCTGTTTGTTGCAAGACAGGTTCGAACGTGGGCGGTAAAACGCGCAACATCGCTATTCAACTCGTTTTGCAACAATGTTAGAAACCAGTTGCACGTTTTTGTTGCCCGTTTGTGCATCAACCGGTCTACCTCGGTCTCTCCCGGTCTCCACGTTTGAAATCTTTGGAAAACATACGAAATGTTGAGAAGACCTCCGATTTACACTGTTAATCACCTATTACTTTTTATTATAGCTGTTATAAAGTTTTGGTGATTCGCCGAATACTGATAAGGATTAAAAAGACTCTAACTTGTAGAGTTCCGCTTGAGTTTTGGCTACAGAATTTGTTTCATTTGCTTTACAGAAAGGCATCTTCATAATATCAGTTGAAAGACGGGATATAACGGAAGGTGAATATTTTACTCCACAGTATAGCATAAATACAGTTGTAGTAGCTCAGGCCTGATGTTGACACTATTATATTCACATCAGAGCGACGTAAAACTCTCGAGAAGACTAAGAGGAAAAGATATGCTCTGATCTTAAGTGTTTTCCGAAAACTGGTATTGTTGGTTTGTATGCAGCAAAGCAATAAGCCTTTACTATTTAATGGTGTCTTATGCTGACATGTGGTAAAAAGTTTGGAGATGCGTAGAAACTTGTGCGTTAACAACTGTAAACTATTGTTTATTCGTTAAAAAAGTTATCCACTCTCGAAGGGAGAGAGGAGGGAATAAGTAGAAGAGGACCCTGGGTACGAAGTTGACGCAGCCGTTCTTTGTGTGGTCACGCAACGCTTCTAGAGAGGAGCGTTGTGTGACAACATTACGGACGGCGGCGTCAGCGACTACTTTTTAAAACTGTTTTCAAATAATTCCCCTCACTGTCGTTCACGTTTAGACAGTAACCATAATCGGATATTCGTTTTCTAACCTGCATTGTGTGGACAATTTTTTGGTGTGTACACTGAAAGACAAAGGTACACATTTGATATAGTTAACGTTTACTCTCTGTGGATACTTTGACTGGAATATTGTTTGTTATTCACTCGCTTTAAACGTTTGACCTGAAAACAATACTAAAACTATTTTTAAGGGTTTGCTATACTGATAACATATGCAATCAGTTGCGACCCAGTTGTTCAAAACTTGGATAGCGCTATCCTATACCTGCCAACTTTTTCTGAGATATAAGCGTGAGATTTTTATCCTGGGAGTGCTGGGATTTTTGAAGACGACAAGATCATTTCCGAAGATTCCCGAAGAAGTCCGAAGTTTTCCGAAGAAGTCCGAAGTCTTCCGAAGACGTCCGAAGTCTGCCGAAGGCGAAGTTATCGAGAAAACGCTTATCCACAAAGTCAGAGATCGCGAGGAAGGTATTGTCATTTATTCATTTTACACGTGGTTTTCTTTCCTTACATGGGTCTGAGTTAACATGTTTTTGGAAATTGTGTCAAGCAAGACGGCAACAACTCACATTTTTCAATCAGGCGTGAGAAATTGGCCGGCAGGCGTGAGCGGGCGTGAGATCGAAGTTTTCAACCCGCAGGCGTGAGACACACGCCTAAGGCGTGAGAGTTGGCAGGTATACTATCCACTGACCAAATCACTTGCCAGTGGTTAAGTTTTGAAGAAAACCAATTTCATCTTCCACTGGCGGAATAGACATTTATCCAGTACATAGCGCTCGCCGCCGTTTAAACAACTGAGGCCAGAAGTTTTGACTGTACTTAATTTTCCTCTCGCTGGTAAAGCTCTATAAACGTCCCTTGTCAATTCATTTTGCGATTTCTCGCTCCACGTTCCTATTTACTTGCGTTTTCTTGGTCCATTCTTGATCCGGGGCTGATGCGCGTAACTTTCTCTCAAGGAACGTGGATGATACGTTAGGGGCTTGTCCGACTTTCTGTTCCATAATTTCATCCGAAAACGCAAATAGTTTTAATACTCACATTCTGTGAATCATTTCCGATTTGATCTCTATGTTTAATTCTCCAGTTTCCCAGGGAGTTCAGTCTTCGTTTGATCTGCTTTGACAGGTTGTTCAGTGGTGTTTTTAATTTCTTTCTCCATTTCACTTAAGTTCTTCTCCATTTCCCCGAACTTGTGAGCCAAGCTAGAGGCTTTCCTCTGTACTGTATCTCTTCGTTCCATCGATCTTTGGAGTCGTGATTCACTCTTGAATAGACTGGCCTCTATGACTTCTAGCTGATTTGTCAGGGTTTGAAATCTGTCTAGTAGTTCCTCGTATTCCATCATGATGTAGTAGATTATATCCAAATGTCCAAACCTCGTATTTGTTTCGCATGTGTTGGTCTTGTTGGTCTTGCTCGACAAACGCCGATTTATGTGAATGTGAATTTCTTTGAAATCAAAACGTTTGATCGGCAGATAAAAGCCGCAACTTCAATGTTTTGTTCGGGGAAGAAATGGCGCGAAAGTTGAAAGGAGTTCGAAACAGGCAAAAGTGCGACTACCAGGGAAGCGGTGAATTAAAATCCAAATTGTCACCGCTATATTTGATTTTTTATAATCCTGTAAATAAAACTGTCAAATATAAAGCCGGGCTCTTCAGTAGATTTTCAAGTGTTATTGACAGTTTGAAAAACTTCAAACTTTTTATCTCGACGCTTCCTGCCTCTTGTTTTTGATTGATACTGAGGGTGAAAAGTGTGGACTACTTTTAGTAAATCCAGTGTCGGTAGAAACTCCATCTTAAATCCATCTTTAAACTTTCGTGAATAATGCCGGCACATGAACGCCTTATTGTGATGCAGTTCAGGACGGCAAGTTTATTTTTTTCTCCTGTTTCTCTCAGTGGTTTAAGGTGTCCGTTCTTTTAACGTTTTCCCCAAAATCGTTCATTTTTTAGTTTAACTGACCCGCAGAAAAACCGTTTTTAGCAGCGGGAATTTGCTGTGCCTGCTAAAAGTTCGACTGATAGTTGTTTCAAAATTCATGTAACGTATAGAATACGTCAAGTGTGCCTCTTTTATTGCTTAAAGCGAAGCTGCTGATCCTTATAAGTATTTAGTCAATACAGAAGGCCATAAGCCTATCTATCGGCATAATTGCCGGATATGTTCTTCCAGAGACTATACTTAGCAATAAAGCCTATTAAAATTAGCCTGCTTAGGCAGCCAGTATTAGAAGAATATTGCACGATCTTGTGTTCGTAAAATCGATTTTCCCCAATACGGACCAACGCACCATCTAAACAACATCCGTAACGATTTGTTCATATTTTGTTTTTGCAGCCACAAGATGGGATGTGGCGAGGGAAGCAGGGTTTCTGCCGCTCTGTTTATTAAAATGTCACACGATTTCAGATCAGACAAAGCCAAAAGCGTGTCATAGAGATTTATCAAACTAGTTCAAGTACTTATATCGAGAGTAACAAAAAACAAATCCAGTTTTGTTTTGCTTTTTTGTGAAATTAGAATGTTTGTCGCCATACTAACGAATCTCTCAATACTTTTGATAACCAAATATCTGTCAACAGTGGGATCCATCCTTATATATTGATATGGAAATAAGGGGATCTTAAGTCTTCAAATAATTTTAATTACATTTTAAAATTGTATTGATACAATGTAGACAAAGTGCAACTATTGAGTATAGCGTCGTTAATATGAGTTGTTTCAATCATTGACTGTTAGTTTTGGTTAAATTAATTGTGTCGGTTTACTGTGTTCCTCCGTTAACGGCTGGCCTGTAGCTTTTTCTTTCTTTTGTGTTGTTGTTGCATTTTGTTATCGCAGGAGACCTAAAGAGTTCTATGTCCTCCAGAGCAAATTAAACGAGTTCCATGGTAGGTCTTTAATATACTGCTTTTGTTTGTTTATGCCGCAGCAGCTACACAAACACAGCAGTCTCAACAATCAACGTCTAGTCGCTGCTCCCCAGCAAACCAGAAAATTATGTAATCCCTACCCAAATACAAACTGTAAGCTGTTTTCTGAGTGAATCAAACTTCATTTTGTAAAACTGCTTTCGTTGGCTTAAATTTAAATCGAAAAAACAATAAAGTTTAACATAAGTTCAATATAAGCCACGTTCGTAACAGTCCACAGGCAAAAATATTCTGGAAAGTCTCCGTGGTAACCTGCCCCTAATGTAGAAGGGTATTTGCCTAGAGGACTTTGGGGGAGCAAACAAACGACGAACCAAACAGTCCGACCAACATTTTAAAAATAGAGTGAAAACCAATGCCAAAATTTTAAACGACATTTTGGCGTGTTCGTTAGAAAAATAAGGAAATTAAAGGTAGCTAATTTTATTATTTATAGGTCTTCTTCCAGTGAAAGAATTAGTTAATTCAGCCTTTCTATCATAAGATGTAGTGCAATAATTTGGTAGTGTCTTTTCAGGAGAGATCGATGACTCGCTACTTCCACCCAAGCGTAACACATTACGAAGTATTACACAGAAGACCACAGCTGTTTATTTTGAAGCCTGCCGAGTGCAGTTTGAGAGGTATTTACAGGTGAGTTTGCATTCTTCCTTGTGATGTCCGCGTCGATCTTAGGCCCGGTTCGGACACCGCTCCACTCATGTGCCGAACCTAAGTGATGAATTAAGTACGGCAAAAGAGCGGCGTCTGAATCAATTTGGTACGGCAGTTTTAGTTTGGTGCGGCAGAAACGCCAAGCGGCAGAGTCTGTCGCATTATTTGACACTGGAGCGGTCGGTGATTCGGTAGCAGCTGCTGGGAAGAGAAGTCACCAATGGTACCTAACCCTGACCCCAAACAATACTGAAACAATTGAAAGAATGACATGTCATTGTTTTCTGCGACCAATCAGGAGAGAACTTACGAGCAGCTCCTACACAACTGGGTGATTCTCAACTGCCGAACCTATACATACAGTAAATTTATATTTTTTTCTCACAACACCGCTCGTCAGTTTACGTATAAGCCCAGGGGCTTACAACCGGCGGTTTACGGTATTTGGTGGTCATTCTTTCTCTGTTTTTATTGTCAGTATCTCTGTTCCAATCCACTGCTGAGAGGAAGCGCTCTGCTCTTCAACTTTCTCTCACCTGATAAAGAATTCAGTAACATGTTTGTTCCTGAAAAAGTTGGCGACAAAGCCGGTAAGATCGCTTTAACTTTTTTTGTTTTAGTGTTAAATAGGTGGGTCAGTCAGAAAAAAAAGCATCTGCCCATGCTTTTTATTTTTTCCCGAAGTTGTGACGAAATGGCAAAAGAGAGTTATATCTTAGAGTGCTTTTAAAAAGTCATTTACTCCCTGACATACCGTGTTCTAATTTTTCTGGTCTTAACGTTTCTTTTTTAAATATTACCGCAAATTGGAAAAAACGCTCGAACTTTCCCCCCAAATTTATTGCACTGTAGTTCTAGACGCAAATTCGCTAAACAGGACTTATTAAAATAGTGTCTTTAATGTTACCAATCCATTTCATCGCGGCTCTCTGTAAGCTGCAAACGTGAATACAAATGTACCCAGCAAGAAAAAACTTCTCTGTCCTAATCGGAAAAAATTAGTTTCCCGAAAAACACAAAAAAATCGAAAATCCACAAAAATAAACTCCCGCAAAAATTTTGTCCCACACGCTATCCTTTTTTCTATTTTTATACTCGCACATGTTCCTCTTAGAGTTGTGACGTTTCCGTGTATTTTTTGTTTTTGTTTTAAACCATTCGATTCCTCTTGGATACACAGGCAAAAAAATTAAATCCATGACGACGATACTCAAGAAAGAGGTGGGTGAAATATTGTGTTCCGTTAATGGCAGTGTTAATGGAATTAGAATAGAATTACCATTGAGTTACTGTTTAACCAAAGCTCCCAGGACTCGCGTGTGTTACGTCCCATGTAATAAGGGTATTCGCATTCCGAAATCCGGGAAATTTTGCTTCTGGAATCCGGGATCCTGGGCTTGTGGAATCCGGAATTCAGCTCTACGAATACAGGATTCTGCTTGATGAATGGGATTTTGAATTCAAGTTCCACTGATAAGGAATCCGTAATCGATTATCGGGATTCCAGAATCCAAGTCTGTCTTGGATAACTTACTGATGGGGCGAGATCTAGTAAATTCGTTCACTGTACTGTGATATATATTCAGGACACTGACCAATTCGTGATTCATGGTCATTGCCTTGTCTTAATCTTATATGTTTTACACCGTCTTTACTATACGAATGCCCGTGTGTGACGTCTTTCCTAAGAGACACTAATCCAAAACACCAGAATTTCAAGTCATACTCACAATACTGAAATTGAGAACCGTTTGTGAGTGACCAGCTTGCAAATCTCAGCATTTTAACTGGTTGCTTACGGGAGGCAATAGTGTAGTTTGTGTGTCACTTATCACTATATTAGGTTATGTTCACACTATATCGGATGGCTTTTCGTGTCGTTAAGTAGAGCTATCACGTATAGTGTGAACGCCTATTCGATATGTGACTCTCTACTTTAGAGGTCAGCGCGGCGCAGCTTCGCTCCGTTATAAGGGAGTTTTAGCAAAGACGACGGCGACGGCAACGAGAACGTCAAAAATGCAACAGGTTTATTAAGCAAAACAACAACTTTGCACGTGCATCACGCTTTTTTGTACATTTCTTTGCCGTTAATGTACGACTACGACGTGAAAATGCCAAATTTCACGTTTTATGTTTTAACTTGAGTGCTGTCCCCAAGAAATCAGCTCCAGGGAAATTTGCCTAGTAGACATTAGATATTTTCAGCGAATTGGAATAGACGCGACAAAGTCTGGAAAAAAGCTAAGTCATTTTCAAAGTGACTTTTTCGCTGCCGTCGCCGTCATCGATCCTAAAACTACCTATAGACTATCGCGCTGAAGTCACGTTTTTGTGTGTGAACAGAAACCCTATTCTGTATGGTTTTCGTGCCAGCGCAAAAACTATCCGGTATAGCGTGAACAGAGCCTCAGTGTTCTGAGTTGAATTTTTAAAATGAGGAAAGACTGGCTGACCTTTTAAAAATAGTATTCATATCTGGAATCTATTTTAAGAGGGGAATTTAACTTATTTTCCAGAAAGGACAGAATCTTGATTCTTTTCTACAAGCGTTTTTGTCTTCCACGGTAGAGCCAACAAAACGAAAACCACTGCCCAAGTAAGTTACTGCATCGATGGAATTTTCTCTCAATTTTACCATTCTGATCAAATCGCAGTTTTTGTAGTATGACGTTATGAATATACAATTTCTTTGTTTTCTGCAGAGGCATTTTAGAACAGTCACAAAGACGAAGCGAGGTAAGGGTTTGGGATACGATTAAAAATCTTTCACGCTGTAGTCGCTATAGTGCTGTCATAACGACAAAAACAAACTTTATTAATAAACAGGTAATATTACAGAAGCAGGACAATGCTTGCAAAATATGAAATTAAGACTAAGGCTAACTAAGAAAAGTGTACAGTTTACAAATAAATGAAATAAAAATCGTAATATGGATACGAACTAGATAACATAGTAAAGAAGAGGGGGTAGAGGGAGGGGTAGACTGCGAGCAATCCGTTTTTACTCGAGTAGGACTGGAGACAGGAGAGAGTTAAATGGCCGAGAGAGGAACTGGGGAGCTGGGGAACTGTTTTTTCCCGCTCACTTCGCTCAATTGCCTTGATCGCTCCCAGTATGTAGGAGAAGGGAGGAGTGGGCGACGGAGGTATGAAACCCACTCCTGTCAAGAATTATTTGCTATTAAGCGGGTCTTAAATAAAGTCATTTCTGCCGTGTCTTCTCTTTTTTAGGAGGGACATTATCTCCTCAGAAGAAAAAGCTCGTAAGTATCAGTTTTACATGTGAAATTTCAACGGCGTGAAGGTTTGGGGCTATGATGATCCTCTAATACATGACTTTTTGTCGATATATTTTCTTTTAGGGGTAACTCACGTTTAAAGGCAGAAGGTAAGGCTTGATTTTTGTTCGTTTTTAATTAAAGAAAAAAGGCTAAAATTTGACGAATTGCTCCCGCGCCCTTTTCTCCCCCGCAAAGTAGAATGGTAGTGATGAAATAGCAGGCCAAGTTCACTTTTTAAGCTACGTTTTCGCTGGTAAAATATTTCATGTCGGAATGGTGTTTAGGAGCCAACGGCTACTGCTAGTTTTAGTGCAAAGAGAATAGGGAATTTGTCATTCTAAAGCTCAAGGGTCCAAAAAAGTAAGATGTAATTTTCAGTCATTGATAAAATCAAATGGAAAACAACTTGTATTAATTCCTGTTTATTACGTAAATCTGATGAAATGACAATATATTTTTTCGTATTTTCCAGCATCAGGAAAGCCTCTGTTGGAAGTTCATGGTGCCACGGACTATATTCTGTATCTTGGTTGGTACTTTATTGCGTCCTTCCCGTCGTATGCCATATAACAGCTTATAACATTCCCCTCTCCCCTCCCCGAAAAAAACACAAACATATAAACAAAAAACAAACTTTTTGTATGCTTATTTCGCCCAGCTTTGTACTAGGAAGGGAGTAATTTCAATGAAAAAGACTTCGGCCTCCTAGCCTGTATTGCAGGTGTTTCGGCCGGGTGTGCGAATGCTTTTTTCAGTGACAATGTTTTTATTTTATTGTAGCTCAACAGCTGTTTAAGGTACCAGCATTCTTGTACACCTTGTTGGTGTGTGGCAAAGTGGCCTTTCAACAGACTCTCGACGTCTTCGCTGACAGCTACTATAAACTTGGCACAATATTTTTTCCCGGAAGTTTTCACCTTCCTTGTTCAAAAACTCAAACATCGCTTGTTTACATTTCAGATATCTAGCTCATAAAGTGGATTTACTAACTAACGAACACCGCCTGGTTATGATTATTCATTTACTGAGAGGTTAGTTTAAAAAAAGGACGCGAAAGCTGAAAGACGAGCAGCTTGCTTTATTCTCTAAGGGGCGAGTGGAAGGGGAAGTGGGATGTGGGTGGGGAGGAGGCACTCTCTCGCCGCTTTGCCTTCGTCCTACCCCTTGCCTCCTTTAGCTCACCAAGAAATATTACAACTTTCCTCTCTTAAAAAAACCATGGTTCTAAAACAACAATAATAAATATTTATGCTCTTCCCGTAAGGGTTTTTTTAGGGATGATGAAACAAATAATCCAAATTAAACGTAACAGGGTTAAGAAATCTAATTATTGGGGGGAAACTAGTTGGCTATTTACAAGCGTGGCCGGAGATTTGAACTAGGGACTAGCGAGAAGAAACTCCAACTAGCGATTAGGGCTGGAGTCGAACTGGGGAGCTTCGGATTGCTAGTTCAGCCCTTTAATCCTTCAGCCATACTTCTTTCCCTCTAGTCTCCCTTGCTTTTACATTTTATTTCAGACATTCGTCCTTTTACTTTTATACATTTAAGTTGCGACTTGTTCAGAATAATAAATAGTATCATAGGAAGAAAGAAAACTGACCGCACAGTAGCT